AACTCTATAGATGTGTCCAAAGCTAAAAGGAAGATAATGTTGCAATGATGAAAAAAATCATCAAAAGAATAGAGGCGATTAGAAAAGGGATTTGTGTGTGAGGAGAACATGCCCACCGGAAGATGAAAAAACACACTGCAGCATGGAGGTTTTGGAATTCGTTTTTGTATACATGCCAATAGAAAGGCGGTGTTGTTATGAAGAGCAGTACCAAACTGAAATCAATGAAACCGGGGGATTGTTTGTTTTTTTCATTTTAAATTGAATAACTCTCCCTTTCTTCCCTCCCCCATGCTCTTGTTTCAAAGGAACAATGGATTGATGCAAGGACGCGATCACACAAGCACGGCATGCACAGACTCACACAAATGTATCAAACTGTTTTTTTTCTATATTCTGCGCAGCTGTTAAACACATGCTGTACACACAGACTGACATGACCTAATTTGATCAATCTCTCCTCTGAGAAAGTTAACTTCTTTCAACAGCAATCTACTGTACGTACAGCTGGATGCGCAAACGAAACAATACACGCACACACATAGGCAAACACAAATCCTGGCAATGCTGTCAAACAGTCACATCACACTACAAGACTTTTTTTTTTTTCCGTGAGGAGTTTCCATCTGTACAGGCGAAGGCGCGCGCGTACAAAGTGACAGTGAGAGAGACACACGGTACAAAGAGTTAAAATGCCCCAATTTTCACATGCTGAACTTGTCTTGAGTGCAGGATTTGTACATATAAATGCATCTGCCAGCTGTGTGTTCTGGTAAGTGATCTGACAAATGGATGGGGTACTTTGGGGGCTTGAAAACTTTTGCTGGCTGGTGTTTCCTCGAGGCCACCCTGAGCAGGGGAGGACGAGACAGAAGCTGAGGTTGTTAGAGTTGCACTGCTACCATAGAAGGACCCTCCCCGCCCCCACAGGGAAATCACAGGCCCACTGAAGCAGGGAAGTCTCTCCGCTTTGCTCTGCTTCAGTCCACACTGCCTCCTATACCTCCAGCCAGCTCAGCAGGTTCATTAGTTTCAACAAGGATACCCACAAAACCAGCCAGCCCATCATCGAACACGCACAGTACAAAGCTATACAGTCTTCACCCCTTTACTTACTGTAAGAACGTGTAATGTGAGTGGTACAAGTCTACTCTTCACATGTATCTGCTTCTACTTAAAATAAATACAGCATGATGAGTAGGGCTGTATGAGTAATAAGAACTGCAATATGAAAGGTTGAAATGTTTAAATTGCGAGAGCTCCGGTTATTCAGAATTTACATAACAGTCCCTTCAGTGTAAGCAGGCAACTGTTGATTTCATTGGCTATAATTATAACAGTATGTTTGCATGTTAAGTTAAAAAAAATCAACAAGAATCAATAAATCAGGACCTCCAGGATGCAGACCATGTTGTCTTCAGTCTGTGGAGCCAACGTTAACTTGCAGAGTGCAGTGCTGATGTCTTCAGTCTGATTTTTATCATAAGTGGCAAACTATGCAGCTGTGACCAACAAATATAAAGCCACTTTGAGCATCATGGTTACAGTAGATTTGAATACTACTTAGCAATCTCAACTATACCACATTCAATATTAAGTAATCAAGGCAAGACAAATGTGTCATTTAGTTCTATAGAAAAATATGCAGGTTTACTTCTCTGATTGGAAACAATATACGTTTGTGATCTTGCTTAGTGCAATTAGATAGTTTCCGTATATTGTTCAGGCCTATTTACAAGATAAGTAGAAAGATGTATGCATGAAGGATGGTCGTGCCCTCTCGGTTCTGCCTGATCTGCCACAGTAACCACGTGTATGGAAGCCTTAAGGAGTATTAAAGTGAGTTAGTGATACATCCTGGCAGACGTGTGTGTGTGTGTGTGTGTGTGTGTGTGTGTGTCATGGCTGTCATGCAAGCCTGATATAATATCTGAGCTGGGTCTCTGCCAAGTGTGTTTTTGATAGATGTGGGCCTGCAGTGGGTGAGCTGTCAAGGCAAACCTTCCACCTTTTTTACAGCTATGTGTCGGATGCGTTGGAGATACATAAACATCCTAACAGTTTGGTGATTTGCTAACTTATTGATGTGGTGGTTTTGATCAGTTTGTGTTTCCTCGTGGCACACAAGTGGAGCTTGGGCTATAAAAATCCAACATATCGTCTGTAAAATATACCTCTTTAGTGCAGTGTGTGCGCGTGCGTGTGCGTGTGCATGTGTGTGTGTGCGTGTATCTCAATGCGTGAGTTGGCAAAGCACAGCTGTACTTTATTTGTATTCTACTCATATACAAACAGTTCTTTCAGTGCTTTGGAAAGTTTGGAGCTCTCAAAGTGCTATTTATTGACAATCCAACTAGGTAATCCCATTGGGCTTCATTGAAGTCTTAGCTTTGTGTGTGTGTGTGTGTGTGTGTGTGTGTGAGAGTGAGTGAGTGAGTGAGTGAGTGAGTGAGTGAGTGAGTGAGTGTGTGTGTGTGTGTGTGTGTGTGTGTGTATATGCATGAGCCATGTGTAAAGCTAGGCTGTGTGCATGTGCACAAATCACTTAAGATCTTATATTGAGATAAAAGAAGAGTTGCTCAAACTTAGCTCATGTGTGATCTAAGAATGATGTCATGGAAACAGATATATAGCAAACGGCCCTATAAGAAATCTAGCTTGTGTTCCCTCACAAAAAAATAAATAATCAATATTGGTGTCGTTACAGCACAATATTGCATCCCTTGTTGTTTGTGTATCTTGTGTGGAATTACATTTTTTTTTTCCAGAGCAATCTTGGAAAACATAAGCTGCATGGATCAAGCACTTTTATGAGAAAAAATGTTCTCGTCCTTCATTTGGAAAGATTGGAAAGCAGCAACCTTGACTTATCTCAGCTTTCTTTGCATTTCCTTACAAAAAAAAGTTATACGGTGTCACTCCACTCACAAGTCCTGGTAGCCATTTTGTTTCTTTCAAGTGTCTCGTTTTCCTAGACACAAGTTAAGTGCATATCTGACAACATAGCCTCGGCCACTGTTTCTTATTATCCAGTGAATTCGATTTCAAGGCTGTTAAGTAGCACTCTAATCTCAATTTTACTCTAACTGGCCTCCATCTGTTGCAAAAGGGCACGGGTGACAGCACACCTACAGCAACAAATCAAACATGCAGAGTTACCACAATAATCCTCGACCACGTCTTGTGATATGAAAACAAACAAGACACCACGAGAGATCTCTATTATGTGATCCCTCCCCACTGGGTCTGAAATGACTGTGTCAAAGCACCAAGGCTGGAGATGAAGGTTTGGTGTTACTGCTTTAGATTACAGGGTGAGAGACAGGCTGACTCACGGAGAGGGAGAGAGCGAGTGTTTATGTGTGTCTGTGTGTGATAACAAAATAACAAGTGCCGAAGATGGAGACCGATAGATGTAGAGAGGAGAGGGACAGATAGCAGCATTAGCCATCCCCATTTCACACAACCTCTCATCTCATCCAACACTCCCCGATGCCGACTGATCCGGAGCGAGTGTTGGGGTTGTGGGACATGCTTTGCATTTTCATCCCTATCGGCTTACCATACAGCATAGCACTCCGTTTACTCAATCAGATTTGTTTGCTCAATCAGCAAATTGTTGGTCATAGCCACTTAGTCATTGATCAGCTCCATCACAGAACATAAAGGTTACATCAGCCAACAGTAATATAAACATTATACAGCCTTGTATTCGAGGATACTGATTGGACTGTACCTTAAAGAGAACTCAAACACAGGCCCAGTTTAGAGTGCCACCATGCAAATGACTCCGACGGATCTACCAGATATACTGAGGCACATGACAGGAAGCAACATATCGTCTGACACCTGTCAAGCTTTGTAAATTACGAGACATGTGCCACATGGGTTTCCTTCCAAACTATAGCTTCTGAATGACACAATCCACATAATTATAATTGGTTTGAAGTCTAAGAACAATCAGGAGAAAATGAATTGTTTTTGAGTGAACTATTGTGCTGAAAGAGGTGAGGAAGCATGTTCTTTTTTATATATACACAAGTATAAGATATTGGGCAATTCATATTCCCTGCTGCCACCATTTTTCACAACAGGTAAATTAATTTTGATATTACATCAAACTAAGTTGCCCAGTTTTTTTAAAATGGTACTGGTACTTAAATACCAAACATGGAATACTACTACTTCTCTTCTGTGTCAAACATTTTGCAATGGCACCAGAGGAAGTTTTCTTTTTTCTGTGATGCCACACAATAACTAATCCCATCCTCGCGAGGAGGTAAGAGGATAGAAAGGGTAAATCCTTCTGGGTTTCTAAAGGCGCCAGGCTTCCTCACTGCCCCGAAATTCGATCCCGGTTTCCTGGGGAGCCCTCTCCCTCATGGGCCGTCAATAGCCCTCTACTGACCTTGTGGAACATTGACTATTCCCCAAAGTGAGCTGAGCTTGCCCGGCTGCAACGCACGTCGGCTCCTGTCTCAATTCATCCGAGCGGACTATGGGAGGATGTCTGTGTGCCATATTTCAACACTCCAAACAGCACAAACACAATTTCCAGACATTCAGCTCAAGTACAGCCCAAGGTTTACATGGGAGGGACGATTTAAGAATATTTAGCAAAGACGCAGCCGAGATGCGCAAACAACTATCCGCCTGTTCACACTCGCAATCTCCTGTCGTGATTTCAGCATTATCCAGTTCCACTCAGATCATCAATCTGTATATCAAGTAGCCTAATAACACTCTGGAGCGTCGTGTCACGCTAAACGCAAGCAGCCACGGGGACCGTGTTATGTGCGGTTAGGTTCAGACATTGTGACAGGAACAGAAGTGCCAGTGCCCGCCGGGAGTCGGGGGGATAGCTCGTGTGCAGCTACCGTCTCCACAGCGCACACAGATTCACCCGAGAGACACATTGTCAAAACTCGGTGTGGTGACACTGCGCCAAGCAGATGCACCACTCCTCGCGAACCCCTCGGCGCAAAACTGAGTTAACATACCTGGTTTTTATGCCGAGTCCCATCTTCGAGTTCAGAAGAGCTGTTCATGATTCCCCATTGGTCATTTACCATACTACGGAGAATCTGCGCATCCGATCCGCCTGTGTGTTCCAGGCGACAGATAATAAGCCCGCTCTTTCGAAGTCTTTACCTGTGATTTAGCCTACTCCATGGAGGGGGGGGGGGGAAATGGGCTCTTTAACGTCAAAAATGAAGGGAGGCACAACTACTTATGTGGGCTCAGTAACCGCAAACACCGCACAAATTACGCACCAAAATCCCCCCCCCTCCTCGAAAGTCTCCCGATTATCTTGCCGTTATTCCAATTAAAAAGAATGAAGAGGAGTGTTGGCCGGGTCCAGGGTTTGTAACTTGACTAACACACGCCTCACAATTATGTTGGATTTAACAAAAACAAAAAATGAACCCAAAAAATGATCCAGAAAGCAAGTCGCAGTCCTTTAACTCCATAAAAAGGAACAGACAAAATCTTCCTTGGACTGAGAAGTGCAGTCTGACCTTTCTGTCCACCCACTCCCGGTTCCTGGACACTTGGACACCCAGGTTAGTCCGGACTGTGACCAGTTATGACTGAACAGAAGTCTCCAAATACCGAGCCCGGGGGACGGATAGAGCGTCCTTTCTTTGCGCCAGGCTGATCTGGCTGGTATTTCTCAGAGATGCCTTTGACAAGCCGGGTACGAGGGAGATTAGCGTGCTCCGCTTGTGTGCCGCGCGGGGCGCTCCGTGCCTCCGACTGTCAATCAGCGCGTCCCTTCGGTACGCACGCCGTGCTCCAAGGCAGCGTTCCTTCCCTGTGCCGCCCTGCCCTCGACTGCTGTGCCGCCACCTCCCTGCCTGCTACTTCAATTCCACCGCACCGCGGTCCCTCCTTTTCCACCGCAAACCCAAACAGCCGCAGATTGTGGCACCTTTATGCGTGATGTCAACACTGTCTATGGGGTTCATGGAACATAATCCCGGAAAGCAGAGTGCTGATGGAATCCTCTCGCAGGAACACGAACGTGTGCAAATCTACTAAAGGTTGCAACACATTTTGAAGATCGTCTATTGTGTACATTATTATAACCGGACCTGGTTAGGTTTAGTGGTTATCTCAAAGTCTTAATGACCGGCTGTGACATCATCCAGCACTGCTAATTTGAGTGACAGCCTTTGGAAGTAGAGCTGCTTGTTTGGGAGTTTAAAGCAGAGAGGACATCACTAGAGTAGAATAATGAACTTTTTAATTATGAATCCACATTTTATAATGTATTGCATAGAAATCCAATTTAAAACCAGCCGAGTGCAAACATATAGCTGCATCTAAACCTCAGCACAGTATAGCACTGAAAATAATGAGGAATAATATTGGAAGGAAATGCACCGGGCTGTGTTCAGTTTTTTAGAGGTCAGTGTCTCAGAAGTAGGGTTATTATAAAGGGTTATTATGTGGCACTTGAATAACTCAACTGGGTTTACATAAGAGCTCTAATGTTTGAACTCCAGGTACACAGTAAATGAAGTTCCTACAGAAATCAATTGACAGTTTTCTGTTCCTGCTGACAGGCAGCACAGCAGAACACAAAGATGCCCCTCTCTCGCTTACACATAGTCATTACCGTCAATAATGCGGTCCACAACAGTGGCCATGTTTTTGCTCAGTTAAGGTGGTTTGATTGACAGATGATTAGAGGTCTAATCCCTGGTGCAGGGACCAAGGCAAGTGTCAGATTACTCATCCCTGTGATGGACCTGCACCCACGAGGGGGAGGGGTAAAGGGGGGGTGGATGGGGGTAATGCAAAATATACCTCAGAATGTGCGTTATCAGCAGGTCAGACATCCACCAGTGGATTGAGGGTACATTGTCACGGTGGATGGATGACACCCCATCTAGGAATAGAAATGTTTAAGTTAAATGTTGGACATAAAAGTATAAAAGTTTTCACATTCTCTGATTTAGTATCTTTCTTTTTCGAAAGAAGATTCCATACATAACTGGGCTTTCATTCACAGCCAGCACACTTTTTTCAAGGTTTAACACATTATCATGAACTCAGCAATTTGTTTCATCAAGAATGTGAGTGTGGCAACATAAGTGAACAACCCTGTTGACTGTCAACTTAATCTTTAATGTAGCCAGTTTAAAAACATAAAACATAAATACACAATGCATAATACAAAAAATGTTGAAAAAATAAATTCACAAAGAATTGGTATGCTTAATGTTTGTAACAGCGTGATATCACATGTTTCCAATTTAGTCCCGCCCTCATTATGCTAGTGAGAGTGGCACAAAACAGAAATACAGAAGATTGATAAATTAATTTAATTATTATTTGTGTACATGTTATATGTGCATAATGCATATATATTAATTTTCCACGTTTTTTTTTACACGTATTAACTGTTTTGCCTCGCTATTCTGTGTGAATATGCTCATCGACTGCTCTTTAAAACATCAAGATCACATTCAGGAAAAAGTAAATTGTAGAGTCTTGACATGTTTGCATATATCACCAAATAGTGACTCTATTTGCATGGATTGTATTTGTTGTGAATCAGAGTAAGGTGACATGTCATCGATCATTATGTAGAAACAGACACTTTGACTTATGCCGGAACAAAAGGCAGTTAACACAAAATGTCTTAACACCCTGAGGCCGTGGTTCGTATTTAATGAAAAAAGAGAAATGTGCAAACATTGCACATTTGCTGACAATCTGCAGGGGTATTGAACTTAGTCGATTTCCTTCCGGGCTTTTGGGAAATATTGCAATAACACAGCGATTTACTTCACAAAGAAAAGCCATGACTGTAATATCAAAGGAGAAGGACTAAAGGAGGACTGCCAAATACACACCAGCTGGTGATCATGTCTTTGTATGATAAAGTGTGTGTGTGTGTGTTTGTGTGTGTGTGTGTGTGTGTGTGTGTGTGTGTGTGTGTGTGTGTGTCTGCTCAATTCTGGCTCCATGTTTGAATGTCACTGAAACCTGATCAGCCAAAGAGAAAAGGAGAAAAGGAGAAGTCTCCCAGGAAGAGCTGTTTATCTGTATAATTAGCCGGGACAATACAGCCTTTTATTGGCTTTGCGGTTTGATGTGTCCAATATCCAAACATGTGTGTGTCTGTGTATGTGTGTGAGTGTGTGTATGTGTGTGTATTTTTGCTAAAGCCCTGCTCTTGGTTCAATGTTGCTGTCTGAGATTTTCTTCCCCTTGGCTGTGTTTTTTTGAATTTTTCACGCATGGAGTGGCAGCAGTACAAATGCACAGAACTGTGAAGAAGCAACAGAGTGAACTGCCCTTCCCAAAATGCCAAGCCTATAATTTGCAAAATGACAGAACTGCAAAAAGAAAAAAAAATTAAGAAGGAAACGGAAAAAACAAGAAAAAGAAAGCCGAAGTATGGAGGATAGGTGTAAGAACAGCACAGAATGCCACCAGTTGGTTATGCTAATACAAAGTCAGAGAGGTTCACTAAAAAAGTATAGGAAATGAACAGCTGTTTGAATCTAGTCAGAGCTTACAGTATATGCACATAGAGATACACACATTGCACAAATATATGTGCACAAACTGACATCCGCTCACACAAAGTGCACCAAAAAACACACACTGGAATAACTGTAAACCTAATCAAAGTGTCAGTCCCTATACTCTCATCAAAATAATTCAGTAAAAAAACCAATGGGGGACACAAACAGAGGCTGTGCAGACTGAGGGAGAAGTCTCTGGTGTTATTAATGTCTAATGATGGGTCTTTCTCAAGAATCTCCAGAGGCGGGGCAAAGCGCTCGCACCTCTGAAGTCAAATGCAGTGTTGCACGTCTCCCTGGCTGCTCTGTTAATACCCTAACTTAGCTCGAGGTCAGCCTATAGGTGTGGGATATGATTGAGGTTACTGATCAGATTCTTTGCAGGGGCTCCTAGCTTGGCCCTCTCCCTCTATTTCGGTTAACCCTGTGTGGGCAAAGCTGTTTCATCAACCACTGCACACATACTTGCACTTGCAAACTCGCATTCCTGAGCGGCGAGGGGTCCAGTGAGTACACCGAGAGTCTGGTGGCACACCCACAGAGGTGACATTTACTAATGAGGGTAATTAGACGTAAATCTGGGAGATTGAATTCCATAAGTGGTGGTGGTGGTGCTGATGATGATCACAAAAATGATTGTAATGATTATGAGCTTGAAAATATGGTGGGTGTTTCAAACACTTTACGACTTTTTTACTGTCTTCTTCATTACCACCTCCAAGCTACAAAGTACGATTATGTTCTCCATCTGTGATAACTAACAGCCTTTATAGGATGGATCATATTCTGAGCTCTGCTGTAGTCGTCTCCCTCTCGGGCCCCCACCCTCTCTCCGGTGAGTCAGATGTTCCCTTTTGCAACTTCGATCCATGTTTTTCTGATCAGGCAGCTCCATGTTTTTTTCATGTCTGTCGCGTTAGAGTTCCGTTTGTCTCTTGGCTCACCGTCAGGATGTCTCCGTGAGCCGCCGAGCTGTGTTTGCTGAATGGTTTGTAATTATCCGCGGGCCTCCCTCGGGCAATGCTCCATGGGCTCCTCTGCAAGTATATAGTGCTCCACCCACCAATGAACCCTTTCTTTTGGAGCTATGAGAGCAGCGGCGGGACAAGCAACACGCGCATCATAAAAAGGTGCACGCATGTATAAGGGGCTTAGAAAAACATGGGAGCAGAAGAAATCCGCCTTCTGCTCGGTTTACCTGCAACCTCATCTTCCTCTGTAATCAACACTGCCCTCTCACCCTATTTTCACATATTACCACTTGCTTCCTCCGTTTCTCTTCCGATTGTACTGTATGGCAAAAAAGCTTACCTACCAAAAATACACAACTATGTGATCCTATTGCTCTCTCAAAGAACGTCTTTAATGTGTTTTATGTGGGGCTGAACTCCTAAATCCAATTTGTACCTTTTTGGGGGATTGGGAATTAGCTAGGCAGGCGGTAATCCCAGAATTCTGCTCCTGTAATGTCTTATAATTCCATTAAGACTCCTAACCCCCCACTGGGACATCCCTGTACCTGTGGTGTAGCCCAACCCTTTCCATTAAATTCGCTCTGCAGTTCCAAACTACGTGAGTTTGTCTGTTCTTTGTTAATAAAGTGGAAAGTATTGTAAACCAGGTTCCATCTTCCCTCTTATAGTCAAATGTCACACATGTGATTGCAGCTTGAAGGTTATTTACATCTTACAAAAAGTGGAAGGACACCTCGTATTACACTGCAAACAAGGCGCGCCATTGTTTGGAAGCTGTAGCTCTTGGGTAAGAGCCACCACCAGCCAATGACAGCGCTGTCATCACATTCTTCGCACCTGTGAACCACGGTATTCTGTGTGGGAACGCTGGTCTCGTAATGATAGTAGGTGGCCTGCCTTTCGCTCTGTCATAATCAGCCTTCAAATCTTGGAGGAGGAATTTCATTTGTACATAATTTGGTTCTCGAGCATGGAATCTGCATTTGAAAGTTTGCGATCATTTCATGGAATTTTATGGGACTGCACTGTGTGACCCTACAGCTCTGTAAAAAGATCAGTTGAGAGTGTGAGAGGGAGAGAAAGTATCTTCTGTGGCACTATATGCAGTGATGTGTGCGAGACTGGAGATGAAATTCTACTCCTCCACTCAGCCCGGGTGTCTGTGCACGTTGAGGTGAAACCGAAGAGAGGGAACCAAAGAGATGAATGGAAATGACATATAATAATCCCAATATCACAGTCCTGCATCTTGAAATAATGCAGCCTATTGGAGCTGATGGCGGATAGGCAGGACTGATGTTAACCTACTGAATACGTTCCTGAATAGAGAGCAAGGTAAAAGGGTGTCTTGATAGAAGAGGGATGTGTGGTTGAAAGAGACACCAGCTCTTTCATCTTTGTGTCAAGTAAAAAGAAGAAGA